TTCCATCTTTTCTCAAATATTAAATTATATAAACATTTATGGAGTAGCTACTGTGTGCCTATTACAAAAATGCTATGATTCCTTTCTAAAGCTGCCACATTAAGTTAGTATTGGTACCAGGGTTTAAAAAATACAAGTTTGTAGGGGCACCTGGGTGGCTCAGTCGGGTAAGAATCTGCCTTTGGCTCAGGTCATGAACCCAGGGTCAGGCTCCCCGCTTAGCGGGGAGCCTGCTTCTCCCTCTGTCCTTCCCCTCATCCCCGCTTGTGCTCTCTCTCGCTCTCTCTTTCAAATAAAGTCTTAAAAAAAATAGAAGTTTGTCTTCATTTCGGTTATTTTACTCTATTTTTCTCTTATATTTATTTTAAAATCTACCAGGTTTATCCTTTAACTCATAAATTTCATCTTTTTGCTATCATCACAGCATTTCAATCTACAGAAATCACTAGGAATCCTGATTTTATTACCTGTCATTTTAGCTAAGCACCACCCCCCACTTTTGTGTCATCAGTGAATTTGGAAATAATTTCATCTAAGCCCTCATTTAAATCATTAATAAAAGTGTTAAACCACTGATAGGATACGGTAATTCTGGCTAAAAGAGAAAGGACCAGAACAAAGTGGCTCACCACCCCAGCTCCAGTAAAAAAGACAGAAGAAACATAAGGAGACTATGGATGCGGAAAAGCCTCTCTCTGGACGCACAACAGGAATCCAGCATAAAGAGAAAGGAGGGAACCTTAGCTACACTGCATATCAAAATCAGTACTCAGGGTATTTTTCAGGCATTACAAGAACTGTCCTAACAGCCAAAGTGCTCAGAAAGGGGGAAAACTTTATATAAGCCTCTTAAAGCTAAAGTTTTAAGCTGCCATAAGTAAAGCTAAAACACAACAAAGAACTAGCTAATTTAGCCGACAGGCTCCCCTCAGGGGCACCAGGTTGGAGAGTGATACACCCACCCTACATCTTTTTAAAGGGTATACATTCCACATTTACCCAAAGAACACGAAAACACTAATTTGAAAAGATATACGCACTTCTATGTTTATGAAACATTATTTACAATAGCCATATTATTGGAAGCAGCCCAAATGTGTATCAATAAATGAATGGATAAAGAAGATGTAGTGTGTGTGTGTGTGTGTGTGTGTGTGATGGAATATTATTCAGCCATAAAGAATGAAATCTTGCCATTTGCAACATGGTTGGATCTAGAGAGTATGATGCTAAGCAAAATAAGCCAGTCAGAGAAAGACAAATACCATATGATTTCACTCATATGTGGAATTTAAGAAAGAAAGCAAAGGGAAAAAAAGAGACAAGCCAAAAACACACTCTTAAATCTAGAGAACAGCAACAAATAGAGAATAAACACATTCCAGACTGGAGGTGGATGGGGGGTGGGTGAAACAGGCAAAGGGGATTAAGAGTACATTTATCTTGATGAGCACTGAGTAGTATATAAAATTGTTGAATCACTATATTGTACACCTGAAACTAATATAACACTGTTAACTATACCGGAATTAAAATTTTAAAATAAAATTTAAAAAATAAAAAATAAAGGGGATATATTAATCAGAAATAGGTTATTCTGGAATAACAAACAACTCTTCCATTAACAATGGCTTACAACGATAAACCTTTACCTATCTTGGAGGTTTTCTGGCAGCTGTAAAATCTGCCAGATTCAGCTGCAGCTCTGTTTCATGGCTCTACTCCAAATGTCTCCTTCATTTGGGTTCATAGGCCAAAAGTGTTGCCCTTACCCCTGACTCTTGGCAGAGGGAAGAGGATAAAAATGGAACAATGCAAGGGCTCAGAAGCCTTCTGCTTGGAAAGGGTACGAGTCACCCCTCTTACATTCTATAAGTCGGAGCAAGTCATAGGATCAAACCCGCTCTCAGGTGTGGCAGTTTGGATAAAGGGTTAACAAAATGTTTTCTCTGCTGCTTAAGAATTTGACCTTTATGGGGCACCTGGGTGGCTCAATCGGTAAAGTGTCTGCCTCCTGCTTAGGTTATGATCCCAGGGTCCTGGGATTGAGCCCCTCATCGAGCCCCACATCAAGCCCCACATCAGGCTCCCGGCTCTGCAGGGAGCCTGCTTCTCCCTCTGCCCCCTGCTCGTGCTCGCTCTCTCTCTTTCTCTCTCAGATGAATAAATAAAGTCTTTAAAAAAAAGAATTTGACCTTTATCTCACTAGCTCTGTTCCCCTGAAGCCCCAGATTAGAGTTCTGTATTAGCAATATTCCTTAGCCACATTGCTTATAATAAAAATGATCTCTGACTAGAAATTACATCTGGCCTGGGACGAACTATAAATGCCCTACAGATACCTGCTGGAGGCTGTGTAGCTTTTAGTTTCCCTGAGTGTGGTGACTGTTTAACCGGGCACGTCCTTGTGGGGATTTAGAAGCTCTGTTTCTGAAGTTGTTACAAGAGATATTGACTCCTATGGGGAATGAGACTCTAAGTCAGAGTGATTCCTGCACCTGCCCCAGATGGATCTTGTCTTCCTGCATTTGAGCTATTCCTGGGCAGCTGTGCGATTTGATGTCCCACAAAAGAGGGACATCTGATGCTGCCCTCCCTGCTGGCAAACTGTGGTTCCTGTCCTGTGTTTTTTTCTGAGTGAATCTGATGCCAAAGTGGCCGATGGTAGTTTTGTGCATCTAAATGCTGAGTTGAACCTAAGAATACCCCCATGGTGGGCTTCATAGACAGAAATGCATATTCACACACAGTGAAGCACTATAAGGATGTATGTTCTTACTGGGAGAGGAGCAAATGACTAGAAACAATAATAAAATCTACATTGGGGATTCTCCTGCAGGACTATGCTACCTTTCAGCACATGATAGATTGATGGAGAACTACTGATCAACAGAGGCAAATAGAAAGAAATGCATGTGTGGCTCAGATGCCCGAATCTGCTGTTTATTTCTTATAACTTAGTACCAGAATCCTCATCTATGAATGTATTATTTTTCAGGCCTTTTTACTGAAAAGAAAAAACCCAACTGGAACCCAATTAAGCAAAAAAAGTATTACTTATTCATGTAATTGAAAAGGGCAGGGATGGAGCTATAATCTAGTGGACTTGAGTCTCCAGGACTCTCACAGTTCCTATCTCTAATTTTTTCAGCTTTTTTTTTTTTTAAGATTTATTTATTTATTTGACAGAGCAAGAATGCACAAGCAGAGGGAGCTGCAGTGGGAGCAGGGAGCTAATCAGAGAGCCTGACACGGGACTCAATCCCAAGGATCCTGGAATCATGATCTGAGTGGAAGGCAGGTGCCCAACTGACTGAGCCACCCAGGTGCCCCTAATTTTTTCAGCTTCTTGGCTTCATTATATCCTACTCCAGGAAGGACTTTTTCACATGACAGAGCTGAACAGCGCTGGCTCACATTTTTACAATGAACATCTATCCTCTTTTCATTAATGAGTTCATTTAAAAATGTGACGGGGTGCTCTTATTATCTTACTTGTCTTAATTGGACTGAGCTTCCTTTTTAGGCTGATTGTTCTTCCATTTACAGGTTGAAGACAATCCTTCTTGCTAGAGAACCCAGGGGAAAAGTAGAAATTGAGTAAACTGATAATCATAAAGTTCTACATATGGTAGGGACCATGGTGATCATGTAGTCCATGAGTTCTGCCTTCATCTAACATATTGTCCTTCCCAGGATGTGAGCCTATCCTTCATTTGTTCTTATTCAGATCATGACTTAAAAGTCTATTTTTGTTAAGACTATTCATTTTTGTTAAGACTATTCATCAACTTATGCTTATTCTGGACTTTAATCTCTGCTTTAGATTGGTTCCCTGGAAACAGTTTCTGAGGAGTTTCATACAGGAAGTTGCTGAAGAGTGATCTCGGGAGATACACCTGTAAGGATGTAAGGAAGGCAGGATTGGGCAGTAGGAGAAGTGGTCATAACTGAGGCCTCAGGTTTCTACAGGCTGCTCTAGAATTATTCCAAATTGAGGCAAGGCTTTTTTTTTATTGCTGCATCAGCCACACCTGGGAGAGCTTTACACTTGGGTCAGGTCAGTCCCCTGCAGCCAAGGGCAATTTCAAATGTGGGATACACCTGTGAGCCAGGAACAGCCAATATTCCCAGCAGCTTGGAAAGGAGTACAAGATGGGGTCCTGGTGGGGAACGTAACACCTACATCCTTCTTCTTTTTAAAGATTTTATTTATTTATTTGAGAGAGAGAGAATAAGAGAGAGCACAAGCAGGGGGAGAGGCAGAGGGAGAAGCCGACTCCCTGCTGAACAGGGAGCCTTGATGCGGGGCTCAATCCCAGGACCCTGGGGATCATGACCTGAGCTGAAGGCAGACACTCTGAACCAACTGAGCCACCCAGGTGCCCCTACATTCTTCTTAAAGTTTTGGGGGGAGTTTTATATTGGGACAGATTCCCTTCTTTTCATTCTCCTACTCGTTCTTCTACATCAGAGAGCATCTTATCGCAGCCATACCTTTATGTCTCCCCTATTTTTTTAATTACTCACATTTATGTAATTATTATTTTCAAATTTTCTTTTTTTTCCCTTTTACATATGGTGTTCGAATCTTTGTAAACCTGCTTTTCTAAACCTATCCATTCTGATAGAATGCAATTATTTCATACAGTTTTCTCCCCACCAAACCAATCTTTCCTTCCTCATTGGATAGAAACAAGTTAGAATATTAGTTTGCCCGTTGATGTTCTCTACTTTCAAAAAAAATTTCAGAGCTCTTGGCTGCAAACAAAGGAAATAAATCCAATCCAGTGAAAGAGAAAAAGTATTCTTGGGAGGGTTAAAGGTCACGCATTAGGCAAGAAGGCTGAAAAGACAGACTTGGGCAGGAATGGAAGTGGACAAAGAAAGCACAGCCAAGATGCTGCTAAAAGAGTCATGGGCGTAGGATGCTTTACTACACTGACCCTGCTGGAGAGTCACAGCTGTGCCCCTGGCATCTGCTGCCTCTGGACACCTACCCTCATCCCTGGAACTCAGGAAGCCTCCGTAGACACAGTAACTATACTGATGTTACCGGAATTACCTATTAACCAGAAAGACTGTCATTCCCTTTCAGCTTCCATGCTATGAATCAGAGCCCTCCATTCCTTATTTCTTCCCTGGGATTCTCCCTGCCAAAAAAAAAAAAAAAGATGTTCATGTACTGGGCTACCAAAACAATAAATGACCTATAGAAAAATATCCAAGAAATGTAAGCATTTGTCAGTGGTATTCCTTGAGCACAATTAATTTTAAGAATACTGGTATACTTGGATTCTTGCCACTCTAACTTGTCCCTCTGCGGTGTTTATAATTTATATTAGGAAAGCATCTTTTATGTAATCTCCCTTCCTATGTCCTCATTACTCTTCAGCATCAATAGCAGTTTTGCTTGTCCCTGTTTTTTATCCTGAGGTCCTAGTTTGAGATGTGAAAAATGTGTGCCGTTAGGGGGAAAAAACAGGTCTTCAGTCATGCAAAATGGAGAAGCATTAAGAAGTATACCTCCCTTTTGAGCTGAGCAGGGAGCCCGATGCGGGCTCGATCCCAGGACCCCGGGATCACGGCCTGAGCCGAAGGCAGACGCTTAACCGATTGAGCCACCCAGGCGCCCCTGCGAGATGCTGACGTAGAGAAATGGATTTAGTTTTAATTCAGCTTCCCGACCATTCCTGACTAGGGTATGGTTCTAGCTATGTGTTGGCCCCACTCCTTGCCATCCTCCTTTCCACACCTCAGGGGCCGGAAGCCTGAACGCTCCCTATGGCAGACTGTCTCCTCAGCCGGCTCCCGATTAGGCGCGGGCGCTGCAGGCGCTGGCCCCAGGTCAGGAAGCAGGCGGAGCGCGGAGCCCTCGCCTTCCTTCTTCTGCTCTGGCTTGGGCAGTAGCAGCGGCCGGCCACTCCGGGCAAGGGCAGGTTGCGGTAAGAGCGGCGCAGGTGCAGCCACAGCGGCACAGGACAGTTAGCAGCTCCCGCAGCAGCGGCAGCTCGGTCAGCGCAGATGGGGCGGCGGCTTCCAGCATCGTGAACCGTCAGGGGGACTCCGGGCTTCCTGCAAAGGTGCAGCTACGGCCGTGGAGCTCCGGGAGCCTCAGCCGGGCAGCGCTCGTGGGACGTGGGCAACAACACCCCTTTCCCTTCTGCTCCTCTAGCCTTAGGGGTTGGCTGCCCAGGGTTATTGTTATCCAGGTGGCATCCTTTCCCCTCCGCCGCTTCGGCCCTCCTAACACTTGGGCCAACAGTTCTCTGTATTCCAGGCTACAGGTTGGAAATCCCTGGAGTTGTTTCTGTTGTTCTGACGGCACGCAGAAAGAAACAAACATGGTATTTTCCTCCCAGAAAACGTAACAACTTTTAGGACTAGGATTCTGCCTGACAGAGTTTAGGAAATGCCAACAGCCCAAATCCTCTCTACCTTTCTTCTATTTTCCAGTTGTTGCTTTTTCTGTAAATAAGTACTTTGTTAATGCTATTAGTCCTTACATTTTATTACATATTTTTGACCCAAGGATTACTTAAATTCTGTATTCCATTCACATGTTCCACCTAAGAATTCTCATTGATACCTATAAGATCAAATATCGTTTATTTTGTTCACCATCATTCTGTGCACTGATACAGAGATAGCTATAACTCTCAACCAACTTATGTTACTTATGAGATAACTTACACACAGTTAAGTACACAAATCTTAAATGTGCAGCTTGATGAATGCTTACATATATATGTAATATACATATATATATACACATACACACCCATTGTATAAGCATCAACTAAAGATGTAGAACATTTCCAGCATCCCAGAAGGCTTCCTCAAGCCACTCTGTCAATACTCCATTAAACATAATGAGTTATTCTGAACTCTATCACAGATTAGTTCTGCTTGTTTTGAACTTCATATCAATGGTATTATATAGTATATATTCCTTTACGTCTGGTTTCTTTCAGGATTTTGTATGCGATTTTCATCCATGCTATGAAGTAGTGGTTTGCTCGTTTTTATTGACATATTGTTATTGTAAATCCAGTTTATCATTCATTCACAAGTTATTTATCTCTTCAACTCATGATGGACATTTGAGTTTTTACTAGGTTGGAGCTATTACAAATAATGCTGCTATGAACATTCTTATTATACATATCTTTTGATGGTTATAAGCACTCACATCTGTTGGCGTCATACTCAAAAGTGAAACTGCTGGGTCACAAGGTATATGCACATTTGGCTTTAGTAAATACTGCCAAAAGAATTTTTCAAAGTGGTTGTACAAATTTGCATTCCCAAGAGCAATGTATGAGAGTTCCATTTGCTCCACATTCTCATCAAACCTTGGTGTTGACATTCTGGTATTTCAACCTTGGTATTTCATTATGGTTTATATTTGTTTTCTTGATATTTAAGCATGATGAGAGCCCTTTACACTTACTGGCTATGTGGACATCTTCTTTCTGTGAGGTATAAATTTCTGCTCATTTTTAAATATTGGATTGTTTGGGTTTTTTTTTTTTTATCATTGTGGGAGTTTTTATGATCTAGGATGAGTCCTCTGTCAGATACATGTATTGAAAATATCTTCTCCCAGTCTATTGTTTATATTTCCGCTCAACTGATTCCATCTTTTGATAAATAGAAGTTCTCAACTTTAATGAAGTATAACTCGTCAGTCTTCTCTGTAATGGACAGTTTAAGATATTTTTGTCTACACCAAGGTCATGAGGATATTTTCCTTTGTTTTCTTGAAAATCTTTATTTGGGACACATTCAGGTCTTTGATCATCTCAAAATAATGTTTTAGGTAGAGATGAGGGTTAATTTTTTCCATATAGATATCCAATTGATCTGGCATCATTTATTGAAATGACCATCCCTTCCCCTCCTCAATTCCAATGGGCTCTTGATTGTAAACCATGTGACTATATATATGTAGACCTATTCTAAATTCAGCATTCTATTTGCCTATTCTTGCCCCAATATTACACTGTCTTATTGTAGCTTTAAAGTTATTCTTGATATGATAGTTTAAAGTTCTAATCTTTTACCTCCATGATTGCCTCCTTCATTCTCAGCCCTTGCATTTCCATATATATTTTTTCAAAGAGAGTCTTTAGTCTCTTGACTAAAAGAGACTAAAGACTCTCTTTGAAATTGAGGAGGGGAAGGGATGGTCATTTCAAGTCTCAAAGACTTGGAATGCTTGAGTTTAACTGTACCCTGTTTCTACCAGCTTTTTTATTTGCCCATCGGTTTTTATTCCTTTATTTCTCCTTTCTTGCCTTGTCTTGTATCACACAATTATTATTCCATTTTTCCCCTTCTGTTAGCTTTTTATTTTTTATTTTTTTAACGATTTTATTTATTTATTTATTTGACAGAGAGAGAGATAGCGGGAGCAGGAACACAAGCAGGAGGAGTGGGAGAGGGAGAAGCAGGCTTCCCGCCCGAGCAGGGAGCCCGACCCCTGGACCCTGGGATCACGACCTGAGCCGAAGGCAGACCTGAGCCGAAGGCAGGCGCTTAATGACTGAGCCACCCAGGCGCCCCTTCTGTTAGCTTTTTAAACAGCTTCACTGAGATACAATTTACATACTATGCAGTTCACCTACTGAAAGTATACAATTCAATGGCTGTTAGTATATTCAAAAAGGTGTGCATCTATCACTACAATCACTCTTAGAGCATTTTCATTACCTCAAAAAGAAATCTCATAACCCTGAGCCATCACCTTCCTATCCCCCATATCCCCTCAGCCCTAGACAACCACTAATCTACTTTCTGTCTCTATAAATTTGCCTATTCCGGACATTTCATATAAATGGGATAACTCAATGGTTATCAATGTGGTATTATCTAGTGTGTTTGTGTGTCTGTATGTGTGTTTGTATGTATGTGTAAGAGACTAAGAAGGAAAAAGGAGAAGTTGTGAATAACACATTGAGTGAGGAGAAAATGGGAAGAAATTAAAAGTGAAGATAGAGTAAGATTTTATTTTATTTTTTTTTAAGATTTTATTTATTTATTTGAGAGAGAGAGACACAGCGAGAGAGGGAACACAAGCAGGGGGAGTGCGAGAGGGAGAAGCAGGCTTCCCGCCGAGCAGGGAGCCCGATGCAGGGCTCAATCCCAGGACCCTGGGATCATGACCTGAGCCAAAGGCAGACGCTTAATGACTGAGCCACCCAGGTGCCCCGAGATTTTATATTTTTTGAGCATGAACAATCATGTGTGCTTAAAGATCGGATTTATAAATAAGGGTACTGAATTTCATGTCCTTGGTGAAGTTCACTAAGAGAAACTAACATTTCACAGATGAACCAATACTCCTAAGTGTAAAAGTTTTGGTTCTCAAATATCTGCTGACAAAAAACTGTACATATTTTAGCACTGTAATAAGAGTCAACAAGCTGAAACCAGTTTTTCCCTTCAAAGTACTTCAGCCACTCCTATCCTGTTTTCTAGAAGGTAAATAAAAATGGCTAATGCAGTTGGTGATCCAAAGCCTGTATTTTTCTTCAATGGACAAAAAAGACCTCTTAAGAATTTTGAGTTTCATCATAAATATGTTACATTTATTCATATCAACCACATAATTCTGTATGGTAGGTCATGATTATTCTTATTTTATAGATATAGAATCTGAGAGACAGAGTAGTAATGTACCTTAACCAATGTCACATGGCTTGTAAGTGGTGTGGTCAGGGTTCAAACCCAGAGCCTATGCTCTAAATCATTCTTACGTCTCCCAAAGGGTAAAGAGTTATTCAAAGGTGATGTATCCATAATCTTTCAACCAAGAAGTTCTTGCAGCAATAATCAGGAGACTGCCTAGTAAGATTCTACCTTCCTGAAGCTCAACTTATGCCCATTGAACTTAAAGCCAATGCTTTTGATATTTTTCTGTGGCTCCATCTAATTTCCAGCAAAATCATGGGAGTGAGATTCAATGCTCAGTCACCATGTAAGTCCTGCATTCTGCATGGTATGCTTTAGCTGGCAACTATTCCTTTGTTTTGATTTAGCCAAACTGAAATAAAGGCTGACATTGAACTTGCATCTCAATTCTGAAAAAGTCTTTCTGAATTCCTGGGTATCAACCATTGTTAGAAAGAATAAGTACAAATCAAGGGAATTA